AAATTCATAGTAAATTCAATTCAACTCCGAATCATGAAATTCCAAAACTCACATAATACTGACTCAAAACACTACAAAATTCATGAAGAACACTCAGCCAGAAAACAAATTTTAGACCACGAGAATCTGAGCGCAAACAGAGGCTATAACGAAAAGTTCTCATACGATTTTTTTTTTCAGCACAAAACATAATTTCATGTACGTAGCTTCAGGGGTCACATGTATTCACAATATATACCTCATGTACGCGCATATGAAATATAAGAGAGTCAGCCCTAGCATGATTTTTAACACAAATTCACATAAACTCATACGATCACCACATATCACATTTTAAGGAACCCCAGTCGTGTAATAATCATCAAGTTCAATCATATGAACATGCTTTTTCATAACATCAATTTTAACATCTCAAGTCATATAGGCCACAACATCAGGCTTAAATTCATACCTTTTACAACTGCGTGCCTCGCAGCCAACGTACAGGGTATTTCATGTGATGTCGGAGCAATCCACTCGTCCTATGGACGACGTCGTCATCTTTCATTCATGCATCAGTCTTCAGGACTTACCCTCGATCTAACTTATGAGAATTATCAACCATCGTCCCTCTCGAGGCTTAGCCACTCTCAAGAGTTACGACGGTGATATGCATTAGATTCTCCTAAACTATGAGGGATCGAATAGCAACCAATTCACGGAATCTAAACGACACTCCCGGTCCTCGACGACTGAGTTTCTAATTTCTCGAGTGATCTCATACACTAGAGATTCACTCGGTACTTAACCTTTCTCTTTCGAGATGGGTCACGAATGGTCCTACTCCAAGGACACTGAACAAATCTTATAGCGAGAAAATGCTACAACAACACTTATCTAAATAATAAAATACTGGAACTTACAACTAGGAACCTCTAGAGCCCGAACTTAACTCTATATCACTAGAGTTCAATTTCAAACACTAGAGTTCACATAACCTGAGCTGGATAGATTTCCTAAGCCCCAAAACAACATATATATCACTTCATGAGTAGTCTCATTGCTACTCATGCAAAACCTCATAAGCAGTTTCATTGCTACTCATGTAAAACATCACAAGTAGTTTCATTGCTACTCATGTAAAACACCCCACTTTGATTTTAAAGAAATTCCGGACCTTCCAAAAATCAGTATAAAATTTTCGAAACTCATTTTCGAGATCATGGGCGTTATACAACAATAAACATCAACCAAGTCATATCTGGTTGTTCACATGGTTTTCATTAACCTTTCAGAACCCAACTCCACATTATTATTTGCTAAACAATATAGCATGCACATGATATTCAATAGACAAAACCTTTACGAATATCCAAAACCAATCATTTGACCATAAGTTCCCAAAATACGTTTTGAAAATAGTTCAAAGTGTCTTAATCAAAAGAAGTTCTCAGACACCACATTTTATTCATGAATGGAAGCATAATCATAAAACATAGTCAAACACCGACCCACTCGTCATCCTCCGTCATCCGGCACCTGCTTA